CGACCCCTTCCACAGTACTCATCTTACCTTTTCTCTGCCTGTGTGTCTGTCTCTATCACATCTGTTAATCAATATTCTGTCCCCCCCCCCTCGACATTTTGTCACTTTGATGTTCCTCCTTCTCTCTGTGAAGCCCGAAGTCGGTTAATGGGCTAATGATTACTATCAAAACGCCTGCCATTTGAGATATATAAATATCACTAAAGCAGACGTGTATATAAACAGAAAACAGCCGATAAATCGTAAGGCAGGTCAAAATCAAAAATAAGAAAACCCAAAACTAAAAAACCTTATAATTCCAAACCTGCCCGGTAAGAATAAAAGTTGTAATCTAACGATATGACAATGCGAAGCCATTTCTAAACAACTTCAAACACCTTGCAAAAAGAAAAAAAGGCTTATATTTGCACTTGTCATTTTATTCAAGTATTAGTTCCAAAGAGATCAAGCTGACAGTGGGTGGAAGTAGAGAAAGAGATGGATGGGAAAGAGGGCCAGAGAAGGCACATTATTGTTCATTCAGTAAGAAATGAGAGAGGAGGAGGGAGGGGGAGGGAATAGAAACCAACTACCAATTACTCACTCGTACTTGGGGAGCAAGTCATAGTTAATAGTAAGATCTAATATATAGTAAAAATGCAGTAAGGGAAACTGTCAAGTAGGGAGCTTTTTGCTACCTCAAATGAAGTAGCAGTTGCAGGAAGGAGACCCCTGGTGGAAAGACGTAATTTTTGTGAGGTGGGCGGGTGTACCACTATCCAACCTGAGAAAAAAAGATAAATGGTAGCAGCCGCAGTCTTGGTACCATTTCAAATCATATGTCAACACGATCTTCATTCTAAGTGATAAAGGAAAAAAACTACAAACAGAGGGAAGCATGCATGAAGAGGCATGCACACCGTAGAAAAAGTAGGTACCTCAATTGCCCAGAGGGACAAAATCATTTTGGGAAGGTACTGTTTGCCTATTTTGAGGTCTTTTTGTTGTGCCCTCATTAGGATTGCGAACCCGAGTAAGCTCGTAGCGCAATTCATTCGACATATATGCCAGCTCATTTGCAGCAGCATCTGCTTTATTCTTAGGTCCAAGAACAAGGACAATTTCAGTTTGATTTTCGCGGCAGCCACGTGGAGGAAACTCAACTTCAACGTCATACTTCTCCTCAAATGGACGAATGGAAGAACGCTGAGAACCGATCAAACGTGCATGAGTATCGCGTGGAATAACCAATTCCTGGCATTCAAAAGTACTGCAGTCTTCAAGCACCTTTTCCAATTCTTCACGTACCAATTGCACCTTTTCTTTATATCCTTGTATGATTAACGGTACCAGAGTTGTATCTAGAAGAGTAAAGCCAGCAAATCTGCTAAGATCCGGAAGAGCACTTGGTTGATCCAAAGAGGTTTCACCATTTGTTTTAGGAGCGTTTTCATCCACATTTTTATCGAAAGCGGCCACAGCGGCATTATTATTCTTAGAAGCACGTTGGCCACGGGTAAAGATAGCTACACCATATTTTTCAAATACTTGGTGCTTATGGCCGGAAATAATACGATTTAAGAAACGCTTTTCAACATTCAGCGCCTCCTCATAAGTTCTCGCCTCCCAATCGGCCTTTTCAGCTTGTAATTTAGCACCGAGAGCTTCCAATTCCTTCTTACAACCCTGAACAGCTTCCGGAGTACCAGAGACGGTTATCTGCTCGGAGGAGGTCCTCTTTGGAACATTGATAATAACATTATATTTCCTCTGGAGACCAATGAGCCTTGTTTTAGCTGGAGTCTCTTCGACAGTTTCAGGTTGATTGCTCTTCTGGTTAGATTTCTGGAAACTTATTTTTTGACCTCTGCGGTTGCCTTGAGTGCGATCTACTTGCTGTTGAGATTGTTCAGAAACGAAGAGTTTGCCGTAAAACTCTTGAGGGAAGACAACTACCTCATTTACAGGAAGAAGGGGATTAATGCCATTCATTATCGCATCGTCGATTCTTTCCTGGGGACCAATATAGGTAATGTGTCCGTAGATGGTACTCTCCCCATTCTGAATGGGTTCTATTAAAAAAAGGTAATTAGTAAAATTCCGTTAATAAGACCAATTCGACCATACCTTTCTCCAAATGGAGTTTAATTAAAACCTTGTGGCTTCTTTCGACTTCGGGAAGAGTAGAACGAAGCTTCCTGAAAGCTTGACTGTGCGTTTGCTCAGTAATAGGTTGTGTCACAGTTTTCTGCGATTTAATGTCCTCAATAACTGTCTGGAGGCATTGTTCTGCTTCCTAGAAGAAGAATAAGGAATAAAACCGGATCGAGTGATGAGTGTGCACGAATAAACCAGTTAACTTACCTGGAGACAGCTTTTGGGTCCACGAATACGAGTTTTTATATTAGTTTGGCCATTACCGTTCACAACGGTTTGATTGGAATTTGGTGGTGGCGTGGGTTTAGGGTAGAAAATCTTGACATTCTGCAACTCGGGATAGTGGAAAGCGAAAATGTAATTCTTCAAATCTTGAAGCACATCGGCATCGCACTCTATAGAGGTCTCTCCTTCATCCTCCCAATTTTTTATTGTCTGTTGTAATTCTGCAGCAGCCTTGGATACAGCATCCTTCTCACCAACTAAACAAATCTCGTTGGCTAGTTTGGGGTCGGTCTCGTTTTGTTCAGGAATGAGAACCTCAACATTATGTCGCTCACGGAATCTCTTTAAATTTGCGCCATTACGTCCGATTAGTTGACCATGATGCATAGGATCACAAATGACCGTAGCCTAGAGAGAAGAGAACTAAGATTTAAAAGAGATGGAGAAATACGAATGTTGACAGTAATAATGGCTTACCTCCGTGCAACCTTCGGGCATATTAGTTGAAATGGAATCGATAAGACCCTTGGCTTTTTCAATAGATTGTGGTGGACCCGAAATGATCAATTTGCGAGGATTAGCAGGGACCTGCTTTAACTGCACCCCTTCACATTGTTCACGAATCGATCGTAGACGGGCATTTGAATTACCGGCCTTTTTAGTTAACATCCAAGAGGGTAGTGTAATAGTGACCTCTTCAATAGTCGCCTAAAAAAGAGGAGTATGTTTAGAACCGGCATTCGTAGTGAGGAAATGTTAAAGCGCAATTAGAATATACCAAAGAGCGTTGAAGTCTCTCCAGTTGAACAATTGCTGTCTCAACATTGGATTGAACTCCAAAAATTACACCACGAGTCTTCTCCCTATCGAAGTAGCGAATCCGAGTATTGGTGTCCTTCAGCAGTTTGCAAATAGTTGGGCCCAAAATACGGTCCCTACAGTCTTCGAAGATGCTAAATTCCTGTTCATAGTTTTCATCTCGTACTTTTTTAATGAGTTTTGCTAGCTTCTCATAAGCAGCGTCAACTTGATCACGTGGACCAGAGAGTTGTACAACATGACTGGTTGTTGAGGGCGAGATGCCTACGTTACTAGTCTGTGGAGAACTTTGAGATCGTCGGGTATTATCCTGAGGCCAACGGACAGAAACCTCTTTGAATTCATTGTAAATTTCATTAATAGGTGCCGGTTTATCGTTTCTTAATAGGTCCTGAATACGCGGCTCAACAATGACGTCTTTAGTTTTCTCATTGGTCTAAAAAGGGGAGGGGGACAATAATTGACCAAATTACATAGAAGTGATGAGATAAAGGGGGGAGGGAGTGGAGAAACATTTACAACCTTAGACCTAGTGAGCTTCTACTTACTCCCTATTTCAAATTATTACCCTCGACACTGAATATACCAACCACTGCCTTAGATTCATCTTTTATATCAGTTACGGGCGATTTTAAACAGGCAATAGCAAAAATAGTGAAAACGTATTTAAGAAAATATGCAAAGCATACCCATTTTTTGACCATTTTAAGAGCTTCAGCCTTTGTCGTCTCGACAGCCGATACTTCTCCCTCAAGAAAAATGTGTTGTTCATTCTCGGGCATCCCACACTCCGCAGCCTTAACCTGACGAACATTGAGTTTTCTCGAGCGGAAATATTGTCGCAGAAAATCAAGAAGCTTGCCCTGATACTTCGGATCGACTTCGAGGGTTTCTAAGTGATGAGATGCCATTAATTCCACAACTCTCGCCTGTAGACGATTCTTAATGGCACTAACCTCTTCCACCGGTCCTTCGATTTTGATATGCTCACCAGTTTCAGGAAAACTGATTGCAACCTGAAATGAAAAAAATGAAAAGATATGCTGGAAATTAGACAATCAAAGTACGAAAATAAGCTTACGTCAAGATATCCCTTTCTAATTTCATTAAGTGCTGATCCATTTTTACCAATTAAAAGCCTATGAAGATGCTGTGGGGCAGTGACTGTTTCAATATCGGTACTGTTAGCCTTCTTGTAAATGGCAACAAGTGCGTTGCCTAAATTGTTCGAATCGCCACGAAAACGGAACTGGTTACAATTCTCAAGAGGAGGATCGATGAACATTCCCGTCTGCTCGAAGATTTCAGTAATACCGCTATTTCGAGGTCCGATGATATAATCAAATTTAGAAGAATCAATATCGACAGGAATTAACTGATTTACGTAACATTTTTTTAAAGATTCAATCAAATCATTGATTTGCTTGACTGCTTTAGCAACCTCCTCCTTTTTACCTACTACCGTAATTTCATTGCTTGTTTTTGTATACGGAGGTATATTAATTTTCGCTCCAGTTTCAGTTTGTATTTTATTCAGGGTTTTGTTGCGCCTACAAATATCCAAATGAAATTGGTATAAGGACGTAATTAAGGTCAAACAATATCAAAACATTTAATGATACTTACGGTCCGTTGACAAATACGTGATACTCCTGTTCTATATTTAGATTTTGTCTGACTTGTTCAGAGTACTGCTTAATTGTCTTACGTATCTCCTGCTCAGCCGCTTCCAAACACTTGTGAGGACCCTCAATCACAATTTCATCAGAATTACTCTCAGGATTTGGAACGATGATCTTTGTAAGAGTTTTTTCCTCAATAGCGCGTTTACGCATTCCCATATGGCCGATTAAATGACGATGATGTTCGTGACTTATTTTAATAACACGTTTGCCCTGCATATGCAGACTTTGAGTAACCTGGGATTTGGCTTTTTCCACCTGCGACTGTGGCCCAGTTATCATAACACTAAGGGATTTGTTTTTACAATTTGTTAAAACAATCTCCACACCACACGACTTTGATATTTCTCCACACACATCTCCTTGTCTCTTTAAATCGCCTTTCAGCTCTGAAACTGGAATCTCAATTATCTAAAGGAGAAATAAAGCATAAATACAGCATACCGTAGTTATGTTATTAGCGGCAAAAGACTTAATATTTGACAATCGGGTTTGGGATGGGATTCTAACAGATGGTAAACTTGGAAAATTCTCCTCATATTGGGTAGAAGGTCCCGGATTTGGGTCACCATTTACCACCTCCATCACGAATCCACAATTCTGTGGCTGTACAACAAACTAGTATAACGTGGTTAATTAACTTAAACAATCCAATGGTGTATAAAATTATTTAGTCTTAACTTCTAGCATAAAATTTAGTTACCACTTTGCTTGTTTGTATATATTTTTATTTTACTTTTCAATCACTGTAGGTTAAATAATAATTAAAAATCAAATTTAAAAAAATTGCATAACTAATATGAATAATATATAGGAAGTAAATTTTAAAAAAATAACACCTTATAATAATACCTAATCCCTTGGAAGTTAGCGCATTTTTCCTATTTTCATTTTTTTATGAAGAAGATCAAAGACTAACTAGAGAATATGAAACAAGGTGAAAACTAACCAGTAAATTTAATTTAAAAGAACTTAATCTTTGTCAAGCCATTGGGAATGAGAAAATTTAACGATTATGACAATTTTCGCATTAGTAAATAAATCATATATAATTTTCGTCACATTCGAGTTGTCCGTTTTATGAAAGCTTGCTTACAGTACAGGTTTAAAGTAATTCCCCCAGAATTTCTATTCAAATTTATTACATGTGGAAAGATCCTCCGTCTATGAAAGTTAAAAAACTAATAAGGCCATACAATTCTCTTTATAGTTAATGAAGTGAAGTGAAAATAAACTCCAAATGTGATTTGCAATTAGTGTTAATACATAATGGTTCTTCCATAAGACATTAGTAATAACATGTGCTTGGTGACATTGGCAATTGTGTAATTACCTATAGGCAAGCTGTTCAACCACTTTATTTAGTTTCTAAAAGTCAATTTTAATGTACAACATCGATATATAACGATAACAATCGATTTGTGAAGAAGTAAATTGACATAGACATTACACATTTCGTTTTAAACTTCATCGATAATCGCCAGACCACTAATAATTAAAAATATTAATTTTAAAGATTAATAACATGATATTACATGAAATTAATATAACATAAAATTAGTAGTAAAAAATTTAAATTAATTGCAAAAAAGAAGAAAATCTATTTCAACGTAATGTGGCTTTTAATACTTGATTTCATGGCTCGAAGATTCAAAGTGTGCCATCTGTAGTTCATAATGACGTTGTACGAGAATTGGGATGCTTTTCAGAGGGCGGCAGAACTTCTTTATGGAAAGAATCCCTCTAGAGTAATATCATAGTTAGCATATTTATATTTTTAGTTCAGGATTGTTTCAAAATACCGTCATAATGATCCAATACTTGTGGTGAAAGCAACAAATGACGTTGAGGTATGTAACCATTTTTCTAAACCCCCATAGACTCTCAAATTCGAAACAAATTTGGCTCAGGATCTAAAAAATTATGATAAATTCCTCGCCTTACTAATGAGGAGCATGGCGTCGAAGTGATCGGTGTTTTCTCACTATTTTGTACAGCTGTAATTTCGTATGCAAGCAATACATTTTTTCAGTGACTGGTTTTTTTTCTAATCTAATCTCTCCGATTTCTTATATTTTTAGCTAAATCACCCGTTTCTTTTAACTTATTTTCTTCGTTTTAATTATCAGATATTAAGTTATTTCATTACTATTTGGGTTTGTTCGCGTTTAGTAGTTTAAGTTGTTTTCTTTCCCTCTTATTTCAAACAGTTTTTATTACGCATTGCAAATTAAGCGCTTATTACTCTAAATTCTTCCCTTGTAAACTGAAGAACGACTCTTGTGAGACAAAATTCATTTTTAGGGTTAATATCTTCTAGCCGTTCTTCCTAAGCTATAATTTATTGTATTAACCTTCTGTACTTCGTCTCAGTTATATTGAGTGAGTGAACGCTATTGGGAATGTCAAAGAGGCTCAACTGCACTATATAGCCATTGAGGCTTATTGTTAAACTTGTTTGTTTTAGTGAATGTTGAATCTAATTAAATGATGAATCAGTGATTAAAGAAACAGGTGCCAGTGTTTGGTTAGTATTCACCATTCACATTACAGTGTAGATCTATGGATCTAATCAAATAAGACGTTAAGTCTTCGTCGTGAGCACTGTGTCCATGACTGGTTTCTTGGAGGATATGTGTGAAGCTACATTTCGCAAATTCACTAGTAATAGAGCAAAGCAATCTGGGCTTCCGTGGCTCGTTTGTATAATTTCTGTGAGGTCATAGTCGCTTATGTCTGCCAATTTGGATATTGCAAGGTCTAGTTCAACTGAGACAGACTCACTGCTTTTGTAAAGAACCTACTTTACGTCGTAATGACATAATTGCTCACTCGATATCGCTGAACTACAGTTGATTTTGAGGGCTGCTACAGGATGAATTCACCCCCAAACCGCCGTGTTTATAAAATAAAGACGTTAATAAGAAAGATAAAAGATGGTCCGATTGTAGCCAATAGTTAGCACTGTTTAATGATAATGGTGAACGCCTTAGGAACAATCTGCAAGGTTTGAGCAGGATGTGCTCATTATTCCCCTCATGTTTTTACCATTTTCGTCCCAAATATGAGAAAATTAATGGATGTAGTTCGTATGTGAAAAGGAGTAAAACCGACGACGCGAGGCCGAAATAGCAGCCGAAGTAATCCATAAAGTTTGGGTAAATGCAAAGTTATAACGTACTCTTCATGTCTGGCATAATTGGATTCAAATGCGGCTCCACACAAATTCAGATATCATGTTAACTGTTTTTAATCTCATAGTATTTAAATGTGAAGTCTGTCAAAGTAACGGCACGAATTGATGAAATTCAGCACTTAGGTTTGTAGTCATACAGCAGAAAAATGTGTCGCGACTAGCAAATATATGCACTTGAAATCGGCGTTGATAAAATCCCACCTGTGTTTGGTTACGCCAACCTATTATTGTTGTGATTTTGACTTTGTAGGTGGCCAATCAGTTCCCACTTATTCACCCTATAAAAGAACAAACTTGTTTGATCTAAAAGGTGTACATCCTGGAACGGAATATAACCACAAAGTATTGCGGATGCATATGAAGCAAGTACAACACCCCAGACATTTATAAGCAAATATTTTGAACAACATATAATGACTGATTGTACATAATATCCCTAGATCAAACTAAAGGAAGTTGAAATTTTACGACTATTGTCAAATCTCAAATTCGTTTATCTGAGATTATAGGCGACTATGACCAATGCAAAATGCCTATCAACCGAATCGTTAATACAAACCCAGGTCAAAAAAGCAAAAATTTCGTTTGTAATATATATGTAAGAAATTTACAAGTATATGAGAGGTAATAATAATCTATACGATAAGAACCGCATTTATACATCCCTCGTTCTCAGGATGATTTGTCACTTGGGCGTACTTTCCCCAAACAACCTTTCCTCCTGGTGTAACAAGACCCATTTCACTAACGTTGACCTAAAAAAGGAGAAACAATGAATCATAAAGCATTAATAATTAAAAGACAGAGTTATGATCAAAATTAGCCTTACCTCAATGATTGTTCCTTTAGTAATAATTCCGAGACCAGTGTAAAGTGGAGAGCTTGGATTTTTCTTGACGCCGATTATTGGAAGGCAGAAGGTATCTCGAGTCTCTGGATGGACAACATTAGCGCGCTTTGCGCGCAAAGCCATAGGACGGATAAAGCGTTCAAACTTCGGTGGCTTACGAGTGAAATTATCACCAACGAAGCACATCTTGGTAACCATACGCTTCCAGGCCTTTCGCTTGGACTTTCCAGATTTGACGACTCTAAAGGCATCAGCTTCTGACACTGTCTGCACCTTCGGAATGGGGACTTGCCATTTCCCCTATAAAAATTATAACAAAAAAATGAGGAACTGAATAAGGTATAAGTAAATGACAAGGTCAAATGATTTACAGCCTTCTCGGCGCGCTTCTGTTTAATAGTGTTTGAAAGAACTTTGGATCGGTTTTGTTCCTCACGGTCAAGCAAAAACACTGGCTTTTCGCCAGATCCACCAGCCTCACCAGCGTTCTGTTTAACATTTCGCATTTCGTGCATGCGAATAGTCTTCTTCATCTGAACCTTCTCCTTAAATCTTTCCTTATTGGCAATTTTGGCTTTAAGACCCCTTAGTTTCCGGGCCTTTTGAGCCCTTTCATGAGGTTCACGAGCTTCTCTCTTGCGCCTAAAAATTGAACAAAATTTTTAGTAACAAAAGGAGAACTTTCATCTAAATTTGAAAAGAATTCGCTTACTTTCTTTCAAAATAGTCAAGCCTGTAACCATGACGTTTTCGATGTAATTCAATGTGTTCGTTTTGTGGCTAAGAACAAATGCATAAGAACAAGATTACGACATACCATGTTGACTAGCTCAAGCAATTGGCGTCAAAAATTGCCGTTTAAAACAAAATTTCCGTTTAAAAGGTCTATGTAACGATAATTATTTTTAGACAACATATATTTTTCATGAAAAATTAACTCTATGCTTCATATATCACTTCATCAAATTTTTTATCCTTTTGATGCTTAAAAAAGATTAATCTTATAATTTTGATGCCCACTTTCTTTCGCGAGTGAAATTGAAATCCCCAATTTTGTGTTTGTGCTTAAATTGGTTTAAGTTTATTTTGAATCATGAGTTTTACCCTTTTATAAACGATTTTGGCAAAATTATGGCCTTCCTCAAAATACCGTCGCTTTGGTTCACTGAAGGTTTTTTCGGATATTATTTTACTGAGTATTATCAGGAGGCTAAGATGATGTTGTCACATATATTTCTATGTTTTGATTATGTTCAAAGGTATTTTATATTCGAGATGTCATTTTGTCTCTTCGGACATTTATATAAAATCTTCAACTCCAATTTTTCAATATTGTACCAGTTCACAATAATGATGAATTACCGTACGATAACTCTGTGCATGTGTCCAGTATATTTCTTTGAACTGCTTATGTATATATTCTCCATACAATAATGACGGCAAACTTTCCTCTGCAGATTAATATATCGACGAGCCAAATTATTCTTTAGATATTATTTTAATCAATCTAAATGGTATCAGTGGTATTTGCTTCGCGTGAGAAAATAATAAAATTAAAGGAACAATTCATGAGTATAAAATTCCTTTTTCCTTTACCTCAAATCCTTCCTTATACAAATTAGTATATCTATATTACGTTTTAAATTACTCATAAAACTGATTAACCTCTTGGTACTATACGTTCCACTTATTTTGACACCGTGACATCGATTTATTAGTTTTTTTAATTACAATTGAGAGCAGCACACGGGGTCGATATGGTTACTAACAGAGAAGGACTGATCGATTAAAAATGACTCTTAAGCACTTCACAGATATAAAAGCCGAAATTTCTTCAATCGTGGCAACTATCTTCATCTAATTGAATTTTTTTAACCATTCTACACTTCGAGTCCAGACAAGCATTTGATTATGAGATGACCATTTATAAATAAAATTAAGTTATAAAAAACAATGGATTAAAGGGTTACTTTAATTTATTAAGTGTAATGTTGTGACAAAGGTAATGAATGCCCAAATGACAATATCCCTCATCATCACTTTATTAAATACTCAGGATATTCAATAGCTCCAAATTATTTCATTATAAAAGTAACCCTTAATATAATCCACCTTGTTAAAACCTATCATCCGACTGAATAAATATGACCCAATTGGTAATTAGGATTAAATTGCTCATTATAATTTTAAAATGCCCTAATATTGAAAATACTTGATTCCGAGACTATTTACTGATCTAAAATAGCAATGATAGAGAATTACGATTTTTAAATAAAGGTTAACCAGGCATTCCACAGTAGATAAAAGTTACAGTTTTAAAAAATTATCACAGCGACAAGTTACCACTAAATCTAAACTATTGGGTGGGCAACTAAGTCATTGCCGTTTTTGTTGACGGATTCACTCTATACTTTCTTTTGTTTTGTTAACGTGGCCAGAGCATCTAGCCTATATTTTTTTCTTACTGTATGGGCTTCTAGGTTAATTAGTAAAAAATTTTTTTGTTTAGTTCTTTAGTTTTGTTTTTATCCCAATTTAAAAATGAAAGAACAGGACGTGCACTTCCGACACATTTTATTGTATTGCTTCCGAAAAGGCAAGAACGCATTGCAAGCACAAAAGAAGTTATGTGCCGTATATGGAGATGAAGCCTTAAAAGAAAGGCAGTGTCGAAATTGGTTTGAAAGATTTCGTTCCGGTGATTTTTCACTGACAAATTCACAACGATCTGGCCGCCCAGTCGAAGTGGATGAAACCCATATCAAGGCCATTATCGATTCAAATCGTCACAGCACAACACGAGATATTGCAGAGAAGCTCAATGTGTCGCATACATGCATTGAAAAAAAATGAAAAACCCTTGGTTATGTCAAGAAACTTAATTTATGGATCCCTCACCAGTTCAAGGAAATTCATTTGACGCAACGGATTAGCACCTGTGATTCGCTACTGAAACGCAATGAGAATGATCCATTTCTGAAGAACATAGTTATTGGCGACGAAAAGTGGATAGTTTATAACAATGTTACTCGCAGGAGATCATGGGTGAAGCAAGATCAACCAGCCCAAACAGTATCAAAAGCAGAGATTCACCAAAAAAGATTATGCACTCAGTCTGGTGGGATCACAAAGGAATTTTGTATTTTGAACTCATGCCGCAGAACCAAACGATAAATTCAAATGTGTATGTTGAAGAACTCGAAAAACTGAAGGATGCAATTGAAGATAAGCGGGCGGCATTATCAAATCGGCGGAAGGGTGTTGTTTTCCATCATGATAACGCAAGGCCCCACACATCTTTGGTTACTCGGCAAAAATTATTGGAACTGGGTTGGGATGTTTTGTCACACCCACCATATAGCCCTGACCTTGCGCCTTCGGATTACCAGTTGTTTCGTTCCGTGCAAAACTCTTTAAATGGCAAATGTCGGATCACACCTAATTCAGTTTTTTAATAGCAAAGACCAGACATTTTACGAACAGGGAATTTGTACTCTGCCAGAACGATGGAAAAAGGTCATCGACAAGAACGTCCAATATCTAATTGAATGAAGTTATATTTTTGAACAAAAATTCCGAATTTGCCTTCTTATTTGAAATCGGCAATGACTTAGTTGCCAACCTAATATTATTATCACCTTCACTTACATAGCACCCACACCGCTGTTGGCGTGATTTGGAGATTCCTAAATAGCTTTTTTTCACTACCGATATAAATATCTAAATTACTTCTCAAAGTCAAAGAATGCACAAAAACACATGTTAAAAATACGATAATACTAAATGGCTTGGTTTTGTGAGCATGAAAATAGACGGTGTTAAAAGTACATTATTTAATTAAATATGGTACCAAAACCATATCTGTACCACTTAAAATGATTATTAATTATAAAGCCATCATTTGTATTCGAAGATCGTGTGGTTTATCAAATAATGTAACAAGGCATAAAAAAGTTACGCGTCCTTCCCCAAGGTTAAATATTGAATTGTAGTTCGGAAAAAAAGCTATAATGTAGTAAGCAGGGGTCTTGAAAAAGTCGATAACTCCTCTTGTGAATCACAACAGCCATATTAGTGCATTTAGGTTTGAGTGAGTGAACATCCTAGATACTTATGTTCACACCAGTAGCCCTAATATTTGTAAAGATTACAATTCAAGGAACGAAGAAGAGAAGTACTACAAAATACCCTTCGAAGGGGAAAAAGGAATGGCATCTCCACATTGAAATGGTTTTGCAGTCAAGTGTATGCCGACTTAAGGGGCACCATGATTTTCATTTCACCAATAAATTCCTTCTCGGCTTGAGGTTTCGATCACAAAGGCCTTGGGGCTAGCAAACTTACGCGCTTTATCACTAAGTTCGTCATCATATGATGAGTAAGTAGGAAAGCAGTGTGTCTCACGTTGCTAACATCAAGGCCCAATCTATTGCTGTGTTGGCTCCAAATGTTGTCCCCATTAGTACCAATTTGTGTAATATTTGCATAGTTAACATTGACATCTATACTAAACTAGGTCCATCTCATTACAATTTACTCATTTTACCTGGAATATGCATCAAATATGAATGCTTTTCAGAATATTTGCGTTGTTAAGAACAATTTGGAATGCGTTTTAAGTAGCTCATTTCAAAGATTGATAGATGGTTAAGAAAATAAGTCCTACATAGTAATTGCAACTTTTCATCACGATTTAACTGTAGTTAGTGTCGGATAATTCTCTTCAAAATCGTGTCCTTCAGAATCTTCGTCTAAAGCATAAAGCAAAGTCGACTAAAGATCATGGTTAAAAAATCAAAGTGATGGCATTTACACGGGGATAGGGGGCAGATATAAGGAAATAGTTAGGAAATATGTCATACAGATTAGATCCGCGACTTTCAGGTTTGATTTTTTGCAACTTCATGTAAGGTTCTTTCAAAATGATTCGATTCAAACTGAATTTAATACAAAAGTTAAGAATATCATTCTGAAAAGGAATGTTTTAAGAATAAGCCATCTTGACAAGAAATTTATTTATATCAAATGACAGGCGTTTTGATGGCTATCATTAACCCTTTAGTTGACTTCAGGCTTCACAGAGGGGAAGAAACAACAAAGTGAAAAAAGTCGAAAGGTAGGGGAGTAACAGAAGAGTTTCAAAGACGAAGTAAGAAAATTTAGAAAAAATGTAATGTGAGTACTGTGGAAGACGTCGAATATGACATACAGTGGGGTGATGGTAGTTTGAAGTCAACTGTCGATTAATAGACTTTTTTTGCCGTATGAGTATACGTTGCCCTGGGTGCACCACGTGGAAGTAAGTCTATCACACACCCCTCTTAACTAGAAATAAGGTAAGCAGTACAGTCAAATGAAACTTGAAATTAAGAAATTTTGTAGGATTCGCGACAATTTGAGGGTCAACTGGAAAATTCTTTCGCATAACGCAGTATAAAACCTAGACGTTTTAGTAGGTCAAGGCATTAATCGAACACTATTTCACAGTAATATTTAATCAGACTGCTCCAGGAGTCGTCTCCATCACTTACGAAGTTAAGCATCATTGTAATCTAATAAAAGTTTATTTTTTTAAATTTAATTAACCACTGCCAAATTAATAAAGGAAATAAGCGTAAAAATAGAGGGAAATCATGGGGAAAATTCATTAAGCTTTTTTAATCCAAAGGTATCGGCATTGTTATATCGTTGATTCGGTTATGTGGTAAAAAAACCACTCGTGCGAAGATGGGCGAAGATACGATGACGTGACGGAAAACATAATTCAACAGTTGACTGCA